AGAGGTGATTGTTTACCTGCTTACAATTTACAAACAAGTAAAAATAATGGATTCTCGTACTGGAAAAGAAAATAAAATTGGAATTCAATTATCTAGAACATGGATTGTACATGTTTGGTAAAACCTTAATGCGATCGACATAGTAGCCCGTGGTCCAACAACCACAAACGAATACCTTATTTATTTATTTATTTTTGTGATGACAGAAATTAGTAGTCACTACCTGAAGGAGCGTATAAAGTAAATTCTGTCTTATGATCTTAGTTGATAAAAAATTATACGGAGGTAAAACAACTTAGTTTATCTATAGTTGATCTGCTCAAACTAATGTCATATTTTGGTAGTAATATAATACAATGATTATATTGAGATATTCATTAAAAAATTAATTAATATTATATTGTTGTTATAAATGAGTTAGATCAGAGTAAAGAATACGATTTGTGAGTTTTTTATTCCATTTTTTTATTATAAAAATTCGACCTTGAAATGCATTTGTTTATTGGAAACAGGCTGATAACTCTTTTAATTACCTAAATGGTCTTGAAATGTTTTAAGTGAAATCACTATTAGTAAAAATTCTGTTTAGGTACCGATTAATCAGCGCTTAGGTGCTAGGCGTTGGCCAATCACCTAGCATATCATCATAATTGGTGTCTAGGCGGTTAGGCGGTCGACTGGGCCTCCTAGACACCGACTAAATCGCCAATCGTTATGCCTTGGACCCGTGTCCAGCATGCTTGCTGGACATGGGTAACAGTGCCGTTAGGCACTGTTATCTCTCTTTTTTTTTTTTTTTTTTTTTTTAATTTCAGATCACTTTGTTATAGAAGTATATGTTCATAATTTTATTACTATATGTTAATAACTATACATTCATAACTCTATAACTGTACGTTCATAACTCTATAACTGTACATTCATAACGTCATAACTGTACATTCATAACTCCATAATTGTACATTCATAATTTTCGAAGCTCTATGTTCACAATTTTAGAGCTCTATGTTCATAATTTTATCATTATATGTTCATAATTGTAAGTTCATAATGTTAGAGCTCTTTGTTCATAATTCGATCAATAACTGTACATTCATAATTCCATAACTGTAGATTCATAATCTCATAACTGTAGATTCATAACTCCATAACTGTAGATTCATAACTCTATAACTGTACATTCATAATCTTCGAAGCTCTATATTCACAATTTTAAAGCTCCATGGTCATAATTTTATCACTATATATGTTCATAATTGTAAGTTCATAATGTTAGAGCTCTGTGTTCATAATTTCATAATTGCATAACTGTACATTCATAACGGCATAACTGTACATTCATAACGGCATAACTGTACATTCATAATAAAAAAATAATAATAACGCCGTTAACGGCAAAACACGCGCGAAATTTTTTTTTTTTAACTAAATGACGCGTTTTTTTTTTTAAAACGACGTCGTTTTGGGCCCGTGTCCACAATTCAATGTGGGCACGGGTCCAGAGCATAATTTGCCCTAAATCGCCTAGTTGGCCAATTAGTTATTGTTCTATTCTTTTTTAAATGGGTTATTTCATTCAAAAAAATATCGTTTAATAACCCTAAATTTTTCAAACTCTAGATGTTTTTTAGGTTAATATTTAATATTTTAGTATTAACTATTAAAGTATTAAATAATTTATAATTATCAAATCTTAAAAAATTAAATAAATTTTAAAATTAAAAAAAAAAATACACAGGCGTCTAGGCGTCTCCGAATGCTTGAGGAGTATCTAGTGATTTTTTCAACCATGAGTGAAATAACACATGGAAACATGTCCAAGAGAGAAATGGTAATTAGTCCTCTATAACATGATGTTTGGTTCATGAAACATAGAAGGAATAGAATAGCATTAATTTCATAAAAACATGTTTATTTTTTTTTTCAATTTTTAAAATCACATAATAATAGAATTCTATGGAATTGACTATTACCTTTGCAATGAGAATTGCCATTCTCACACTCCGAAATGATTTTAGTTATTCTTGCCTCATTAGAATTTAAATTTACTTAATACCAAAAATACCCTTGTATGTGTGTCTGTCAAATTAATTAATTAATTATATATATATATATATATATATATATATATATATATATATATATATATATATATTTATTTATTTATTTATTTATTTTGTATAGACAATTAAATACATATATGTGTGCACTAGTTTTATACGCGCATTGCGAGATTGAGATAATGTCTAATATTTTTTTTAAATAAGTACTTTAAAGTATAGGCAAGATTATATTGAAATTGTTCATGCATAGATAATTAAATGTTGAATTTGCTTATTTAAATAGGTAATTCTAAGTTTACGAATGCAAGATAATATAGTCAAGATTGATTATAATTGTCAATAAAATAATTGTATAGGTATGGTTGGACATAAGGAATAGCAAATAAAAATTAGGGCATAAAATATTAAATATATACTAGTATTGAAGAGCTAACAGATTGTCAAACAAGAACATTGCGATGTAGTTTCCCACTTCAATTTATTGTGTGATCTGAATACTCTTTTTGTCAATAAATCCCCCAAGTAGTTAATATGATTGGCTTAATTTTATTTTTTTTTCAAACAATTATTATTATTATTATTATTATTATTATTATTATTATTATTATATTATTATTATTATTATTATTATTATTATTATTATTATTATTATTATTATTATTATTATTATTATTATTATTATTATTATTATTATTATACCCTTAGGTCATTTTACATGTTAATCTAAACAGCTAATTTTTTCAAATATATTTTTACCAACCGTTGATATAATTCATTGGTCAAATCTGTTAATATAATCCGCTAACGCTAACCGCTAACTGCTGATTGTCAAACAAGGACATTGCGAGATAGTTCTCACTTCAATTTGTTGTGTGATTTGAATACTCTCTTTGTCAACAAATCCCTCAAGTAGGTAATATGATTGACTTTATTAATTATATTCAATCTATAAGTTCATTAAGTTGTATGAGTTTTGATTTTTAAGTTGTAAGTTGTTAAGTAGTTAGTAGTTACTACTTAGCTAGTTAGCTAACTTAGCTTTACTCAAACCAATTTTTGATGATTTACTTATTTAGTACTTAATTTGTATTTTTTATTATTTTTTATCCAAGCCGACTCAATCCGAAATCCGAACACAACCGTCCGTAATCCGACTTTCAAATATTCGATGAGTTGAACCCTATAAAATAAACAGATAGGGGAGTAATCTGTCAATCCGAAATCCGAACGGTTTAGGGGTTTCGAAATTCGATCTGTCCGAACCCGTCCAATGCACAGTCCTAGTTTGAATATGCAAATGGGTCCAAGAAATACTTGTCATTTAAGATTAACAACAACAACAACAACAACAATGGACATTTTAAATTTTATGCTACTTATTCCCTCTCAATTCCCATGTATACCAAACATTGAAATTGAATTTCCTTGTAATTTTATCCCTACAAACCAAATATTGGAATTTAAACTCACTTTATTCCATATTATTATTTTCCCATGAAATTACAATTATTTTCCAACCTAATTCTTTTCATAAAACCAAACAACTGTAATACTTTACACAAAATTATCTAGGATTTTAAATTTATATAATTATAATTATAGCTCATCCTTGTCAAATCCACACAAAAATATCAACAGCCACAATAAAAGAGAAGGATAGAAAATAAAAGGTAAATTATTGTGTGGAAAAGATTGGAGAGAAAAGTACTCCGTAATAAATAGAGAGCGACAACTTCCCAGAATAATTAAGAAATGTCGCTTTACAAGAAAAAGTAAAATGATAGCACATCAAGTCATCAATGATGCCGCTGGGCGTTGGCCACATAAATTGCACATCAATAATTTAATTTAGACCCGTTAGAGCATTCTTATCAGTTGAGGATATTAGGGGGAGAATGTAAGAATGAGTAGAAAAGAGAATAATGTGGGAGGGGAGAAAAAAAAATCAAAACTAATTTTATATAAAAAAAAAATTAAAAAAATAAGCATGTCATTTCTCTATTGGTTCTCTTTCCTCCATCATTAATTTTTTTTCTTGGGCAGAGTAATATCGCAACCTTTGCAGATGCTCCCACCCCTTCTCTCTCTTGATTCTCTCTCTGCCACCATAAGTAGTGAATTCTCCCTCATTTCTCCTCTGATGTAGATACTCTTATTCACACACACACACAAATTATTTGATGCGAGTTTCAAAGTTAAACAATTTCGATTTACAATTTCATGAGTTTGAAAAGTGAGTTTATAAAATTTAGAATATAGTTCGATGATGTTGGAAAAGAGTTTTATGTACTTTTGATCTCACGACTATGGTGTCACTGACAACTTTGATCCATGACTTTTAAAATTTGTAGAATTGATCTACGACTATGATTTTCTTAGTAAATTTGGTTCTTCCAGTGCATTTTTCGTTCAATTTTTGCCAGAAAATTTTACTCCCAATTTTAATATGGGCAATATTGTCTTTTCCATATCACAAACTAATGACATAAACAAACAAACAAACAAATAAATAATTAAACACAACCAATGGTACGGTGATTGAAATTAAAAGTCACCTAATTCTAATTCCACTTTCAGTTTTAAACTCCTCGCTAAACGCCAAAACCCTAACCGAAATTGAAATTTAAAATCACCCATCACTCAAGTTTCTCAACGCATTGATCTTCATTTATTTATTAAAAAAAAAAAATCCAACCTTTGTTTATATTGAGGTTTGCCCAGTTGGTTCAAGAGGCAGAAGTCAAGTGTTGTGAGTAGATTTAGCTTAATTGCATGGATGGGTTATAGATGTGCTGTGATTATGTGTTTGGAGTGTTTTTGAGACTTTTTGAAGTATTGTGAAATTTTAGACTTAGCTAAAATGACAGTATTGTGAAATTGCAGATACTACATGTCATTAAATGCGTACTCAAAAGAATAGCATAAAAGGCAACCTTTTCCTCCATCTTCATAATTAAAAAAGTAGAAAGCCACAATGAAATATACACTCTGCAATTGCCATACATTTTTTCTTCTTCTTCTTCTTCTTCTGCATCTTTCTCCAGAATTGGATGCATGCGGCTCCATAGTTAAGTCGCTTCCAGGATTTGAAGGACCACTCCCATTTCACCTAGAAACCGGGTAAGCTATTTTTGCATTATATCTTTTAATTAAACTAAGTTAGAAGATTAATGAACTGAATTTACTTCTTCATTATATTCTGCAGATATATAGGCGTGGGTGAATCGGAAGAGGTCCAACTTTTCTACTATTTTATCAAGTCAGAATCAAATCCAGAAGAAGACCCTCTTTTCCTTTGGATCTCTGGCGGCCCAGGTTGCTCTTCCTTTTTCGGAATTGTTTACGATGTTGGTGAGATGCCAAATATAATGTTTTTCTATGTTTAAATCCATTTTTTATTAATAGTTTGGTTGGCGTGAGCGGCCGTTAGGCTGTGCACTTTCATCCCTCAAGAGAGGTTGGGAGTTTGAACTCTCTCGTATGAAAAAATCAATCTGGCCAGCTCAATAGTTTGAGATTTTGAGAGAACTGTGGCAATGTGGAGATTATGCCCAAAGTGGACAGATTCTTTGTGCGCACCGACATTTGGCTTTGTTGCTAAGTCATTGAGTCACTATGATTTACATCTTCCCAAATGATTTTTCGAGCCATTTGGGGTTAGAGATTGTCTCTGTCTGTTGAGTCAAATAATCATGATTTACATCTTCCCAAATAATTTGTCGAGCCCTTTGGAGTTAGAAATTCAACCTTTTGGGAGAAGGAAAAAAAAATCTAATTCTGATTAAATAACTTGGTTGGTATAAATATGTCGGGCCATTGAAGTTGGAGATTTAACCTTTTAGGAAAAAAAAAATCTAATTATGATTAAATAGCTAGCTTGTTTGGTATAAATATGGCATAAGGTTCCCCCTCTAGTTTTTTTGGGCCAAAGGAATACCTTTGGCCAATAGCCTGAAGACTAATCCCCTTCCCTACAATCAGCACATTAAGTGGTAAGAGACTGGCCAAATGGTTTGCTCCATTCACATGGGTGGAGATCAAACCCCCAACCTCATGCTTAAAGGACGAGGTGCTAAACCACCACACCAACCATGTTGGTTTGCTCCTATAGTTTAGACTTACTCAAAACACTCTCTCTAACAAAAAATTTTTAAAAAAAAATCCATTTTTGATTAGTTAACTTTGATTTGTTGGTCCAATGATGGTGCTTGAGTGAACCGTGCAGGGCCGCTGAGTGTTGATGCAGTAGACTACAATGGCAGCCTGCCCACTTTATCATTGAATCCTTATTCATGGACAAAGGTGAATCTCAACAATATAATCATACTCCAACTTCTTTAATTTCTTTTCATTTTTCTTTTCCTCTCGTGAAATTAATAAAAGATGCCTGACGAGAATATCTACTATCTATCTACTATCTACTATATCTATCTACTATCTACTATATTAATAAGAGTCCAAGAGGCTCGCATGGGTAGCTCAACTGGTCATAGAGGTGAAAATTTGGAAGAATGACCAGGGATCGAGTCTCACTCGCGGCAGTGTGGGAACAACCTCTCAAAGTCGCGGCAGTGTGGGAACAACCTCTCAAAGTGAGGGGGGCTCCTTGTGCGCAGTGAGCACCGGTCTAGCCTTTGTGATTAATGTTCAGTTGAGTCACCATGATTTACAACCTCCCACCGCTCTGTCGGGCCGGGGTGTGGGGGGCTCTTAGGGTTGGGGTTCAGCCTTCTTTTGGAAGAATAAGAGCCCAAGAGAGTTAGGCTTATAATGGGTAGAAAAATGGCGGTCAAATTTTTTAATCAAATGAATGGCTCAGCCGCTCTGTCGGGCCGGGGTGTGGGGGGCCCTTAGGGTTGGGGTTCAGCCTTTTGGAAGAATAAGAGCCCAAGAGAGTTAGACTTATAATAGGTAGAAAAATGGCGGTCAAATTTTTTAATCAAATGAATGGCTCAGATTGATCTACTATGGCTCAGATTGATCTACTATACTAATAAGAGCCCGAGAGAGTTAGACCTATAATGGTTAGAAAAAATGGCGGTCAAATTTTTTAATCAAATAAATGGCTCAGATTGATCAGATTTTAATTTTTCCTTAAGATTTCCTAATTTATCCTTAATGAATGTGATTTTCCGTTAAATATTATCTTTTCCGTTAATTTCTGTTAGTTCACCGTTAACTTACTCATTGATTTTAATAAGAATTTAAAGGTCTTAGGTTCAAACCTCATCCCAATCAAAGTTGGCATAATTAGTACTCTATTTTACTCTTATTAAATTAAATTAAAAATTATAATTTAGTAGCTACAACAAAAAATAATACATATCATTTTTAATTTAGAATTATGTGTCTACAATGCCTTTATTCAAAAAAAAATTATTCATTATCAATAAATTAAATAAGAGAAATAATTTTATTAGTTATATTGTCTTTATATTTCTCCAATGTAAAAATTCTTTACATTCAAATTCATCAATTGATTATATTCACACATTGTCTATTACCTTTTTTTGTGCACTATTTTTTTAATTAAATATCAAAGTTATAATACAAAATAATGCTATATATTTATTTACCAAGTATTTTATTAATACCATGAAAAAATAAAAAAAATATAATTAATAAAGCTAATCATATTAATTACTTGAAGGATTTGTTGACAAAGAGACTATTCAAATCACACAACAAATTGAAGTGAGAACAACTTCGCAATATCCTTGTTTGACAATCAGCAGTTAGCGGATTATATTAGCGAATTTGACCAGCGAATTATATCAATGGTTGGTAAAAAGATATTTGAAAAAAATTAGTTGTTTAGATTAACATGTAAAATGACCTAAGGGTATGATGATATAATAATAATAATAATAATAATAATAATAATATAATAATAATAATAATAATAATAATAATAATAATAATTGTTTTAAAAAATAAAAAAATAAAAAATATAATTAAGTCAATCATATTAACTACTTGGGAGATTTATTGACAAAAAGAGTATTCAAATCACACAACAAATTGAAGTGGGTAACTATCTCGCAATGTCCTTGTTTGACAATCAGTAGTTAGCTCTTCAATATTAGTATATACGGAGTATTTAATAATTTATGCCCTAATTTTTATTTTCTCTCCCTTTTGTCCTGTATTTGGTTTCAACCATACCTATACAATTATTTTATTGACAACTATAATCAATCTTGACTATATTATCTTGCATTTGTAAACTTAGAATTGCTTATTTAAATACACAAATTTAACATTCAATTATCTATGCATGAACAATTCCAATATAATCTTGCATTGATATACTTTAAAATACTTATTTAAAAAAACATTGGGCATTATCTCAATCGCGCAATGCGCGTAAAAAACTAGTATATATATATAAGTTCAGATAAGTTTCTAAGTATTTTACCTACTAATATATTTAATTGGGATCAACTATTATGTAGTGTGATAACACATTTGTTACGTACCATTCTAAATGGTTGGTAACATGATCAAACTTCTGTTGTAGGATAAATATTACATTGTAAAGAATCATGAGTGTTTAAAAAAACAAAATTGAATTTTTTTTACCAAGTTTGCATTTAAGGCGTTAGGTATGAGTAGTTTAGTACCTTTAATTTCTAATTAATTAGAGGTGGCTTTAATTTCGGGTAGGGCCTCGCCTAAAGGAGGTTCTAGTATAGCTTAATTATCAATGTCATTTTTGAATTATTAGTGGTGTAAATGTTATTTTTCAATTTTTAAAATGGTGTATATATTGTCCAACCTATATCATACGCGGAGAAATTGAGGGACAACATTTACACTACGGGAGGAACAATATGTGTACCGTTTTGAAAATTGAGTGGTAACATTTACACCACTGATAATTCAAGAGTGACATTGATAATTGACATATTATAGAGGGACATAAATTATAATTTTTTCAATAGTTACGAAATATTCAATTATTAAAATTTACACTAATGAAATGCATGTGTATTTAGGAAAATTGTAAATGATATAATAGACCCAATATTTGGAGACTTTTTTTAAAACTTATTAGTCAAACATAGGAATAAATTTAGGTGATTATAATTATTAATTGAATTTTATTGGTGACAATAAATTGTTAGGTGGCCAACTTTATTTTTTTGGACTTACCGGTTGGCACGGGATTTTCATATGCAACCACTCCCCAAGCTAATAGCTCGGATAATTTGCAAGCGGCTAACCATGGTTATCAGTTTATTCAAAAGGTAATTAATTAATTACCCAAGGATTAACCAGGGAATAGTTTTCAAACAAAAAAAAAAAAAAAAACAGGGAATAAATCTTATATTCCTTTTAAGTTTTTATTTATTTATTTATTTATTTTTAAAATATATTCCTTTTAACTTGATTCTCATAATATATTCTCAACTTTGCATCATCAATTTGTAAATACTTTGATTTTAACTTTGTGATTTACAGTGGCTTGATTTGCACCCAGAATTCGTAAGGAATCAATTTTACGTTAGTGGAGACTCATATTCTGGTATTACTGTTCCAATGATTACTCATGTTATATCAGATGGTAAATTTTTAGAATTTTTTTTTATTATAAGTTCTGCACGCACACATAATCGTATATTTTATAAGAATAATTAGAATTAATATCAAATTTAGTACTCGATTTTGATAAATTTTTCATATCAAATTTTAAACAAATAATTTCACTACATTTTTGACATTGACTTTTATGATTTTACTAAATTTAGTCATAATTTGTCACCCTATTATCAATAGTAATAACCCTTGGTGTGTTTGGGAAACCATATATGGTAGCTACTTAGTTGTGGTATTAATGTGGGTTGACCCGGCTCGCTACACGATAAGCTTGAAATTGACGAGTTTTAACGGGCAAAATTTCTTTGGTCCTAACCTACTCCATGTGAATTGGTGGGCACACGGGCTAGTTAAAAAAGATTTTTTTTTTTTAAAAACATTTAAAAAGACAAAATTTATTTATATTACATTATATACTATATTTTAATATATAAATATGACTTTTTCTTTTCAAAAAAAATGTATTTTAATATATAAATAAGAAAAAACATATAAATTTAAATTTATATATACTATGATCTGATGGATAATAATTGATGATTTTTCAACCCTAACCCGTTTTTCTTCATGGTGACAAATAATTGAGGGTTGGATACTGACCGTGGGTGTTCACCTCCTTTCTTTTCAAATTTTTTTTTTTTTTTTGACTATTTTAAATAAAATTATTTAAGCCAAAATGTAGTGAAATTATTTATCTAGAACTAAAATTTAAAAATCTATCAAAGTCTAGAATTAAACATGATATTAGCTCATACTAATTATAAGGGTTGTGGAACCTTAGGAATTGAGGCAGGAATTACTCGGATTAATCTTAAGGTAGATCATTATTTCAACTCATCTACATACATTCCCTTTCTCTTTCCTCCCCCCACCCCCCCCCCCCCCCCAATATAGTATATACACTCAATCCGATGTCTATTTTGGGGTTCCATGCAGGGATATTTACTTGGGAATCCAGTAGCAACACCAAATGATGATGATTATAAAGTCCCATTTGCACATAACATGGGACTTATTTCTGATGAACTCTACGAGGTAAATTACAATGTCTTAATTTGATTCATTCTCAAAGTCCTTGTAGTTAAGCGGCATGAAGTGACTCTTCTAAATGGAAGGTTGAACAGATACTACATGTCATTGAATGTGTACTGACCGAAACATGAGGCCGTTTAGTTCATGGAAAATAAATTACCAAGAAGATTGATTACATTATTTGTTTGGCGGAAAAAAATGTACTTGGAATAATAAGAAAGCTCTATGATGACAAAAATTGTCCTACCAAGTGATCAAAGAATTTTTTTTTTCATGAAAAACAAAATACCAATAATACTTGACAAAGAAAACCTCAAATTTGAGGAATTTTACTCCCTTTAAAAAATGAATTCCAAGAACCAAACAAGAGAAAATAATATTTTTTTTCAAATTTTACAAAATTGATTTCATTGAAAAATATTTTCCATCCAACCAAACATGCTACCTCTAGTGGTTAGCAAATGGTGTTGATGGCTAATTGTTAACTTATTGTCTTAACTTTTTTTTTTTTTAAGGTCAACCAATGCAGTTGTATTTATAGATAAACTGAAATAGAGTCAGGTGGGACACCGTCCCAGTACATAGTTGTATCATAATCAAAAGCCGTAGAAGCTAAAGTGTGCGTTAAATAATTCTGCGATCTAGGAATGAAACTAACTAAGTAGAAAGTAAAGGTAGATATGCAGGCTCTGCATCCGTCAATAGCGTAACCAATGTATGAAAGGGGCGGCGCACCTGCTGAGGATAAATAGCTCTGAAGAGTCTGACAATCTGTATAAAGCTCAATAGACAGTTCTCCACGTGCACGTATCCATGAAAGGGCTTCCTTGCATGCATACGCCTCAGCCATGAGTAGGGAGAAGCAATGTGACAAGGGTGCGCTGTATGCTGAGATATATCCCCCATCCGCGTCTATGAGTAACGCCCCTACTGTGGCTGAGTTGTCCGCATGGTAGTAGCCTGCGTCGACGTAGCATTTGTTCGGCCGTGGTATAGGAACATGGGGGGCGCCGGCAGCGAAGATGGCGGAATCACTGGCTGGGCAGCGATGTGAGCTGCTGTCGGCAGTGGTGGAGCGGAGTGAGACGGCTGGACAGAAAGGGCAACTCCCGGTGGCGGCATTGGTGCTGACGTCGGCGGCTGGGCAGTGTCGGCGCAGGTTCCCTTGGCTGATGTTCGCCTCGGTGCATTGGCGTGGACTTGCCGCCATGCTCGCATGGTGGCTTCGGCCATAGCTAGCACCTTTCTTGGAAGTGGTAGGCATGCATCCCATACGGCTCCATTTCGTGCTCTCCATATATGATATAATATTGCAGCTGTGTAGATCATTCCATCAGAGTCTAGAACATTTAATATTTCACTAAATGATTCATTAAAAAATATTTGTCATAATATTTGAGACTGGAAGGTTGGATAGAGCCCATATGGAATTAGCATATCCACACAATACCAATGAATGCATAATGTCCTCATTGATGATCCCACACATGACACATAATGGATCAACCTCTACCCACTTTATAAGCAAGTTATTGGTAGTTAGAAGGATATCACTTATTGCTCTCCATAGAAGTGTTTTTCATTTGGGTGGAATTTTAAGTTTCCATAGGGCGAGCCATTTTGTGAAAGCATTATTAACATTATTTCCATAATTCCCAACAATGAGCATGTAGCCATTCTTAACAGAGTAGCATCATTTGGGGTCCCCATTCCAGTACCACATATCATCATACTCCGGGGAGATCGGTATTTTCAAGATTCTAGGCATATCATTTGGTTGGAAAATATCAGCGAGCAAATGATGGTCCCATGTACCTGTAGTCTGATCAATTAAACCTATCACTTTAGCATTGGCTAACTGGGGCGGCACCTCTGTCTGAATCATAGGGTCCTCGTCATCTTGGAGCCAGGGGTGTCCCCATATTAAGGTAGAATTTCCATTCCCAATACGCTGTCTTACTCCACTACAAATTAAGCCCTTAGCTGCCATAATACTCCGCCAATAGTGACTAGGATTATTTCCTAGACATGCATCATAAAATGAGTCTTTAGGATAGTACCTAGCTTTGTGCACACGAGACACCAATGAGTCAGTGTTAGTAAGTAGTCTTCACGCCTACTTACCGAACAGTGCCACATTAAATGCTCTCAGATCTTTAAAACCTAGGCCACCACAGATCTTTAAAACCCAGGCCACCATACTTTTTAGGGATGCATAACTTATCTCATGCTTTCCAGTGAATTCCACGGTCAGTTCCCGAACCCCACCAATAACGATTCGTGAGTCGCTCAATGGCAGTGCACACATATATAGGTAGTAAAAACACACTCATCGAGAAAGTCGGCATAACTTGAGTCACACTTTTCAACAATATCTCTTTACCTGCTTGTGATAGCAATTTTTTATTCCAAGACCCAATTCTCTGTCTGATCTTATCTTCAACATAGGCAAAAGCTCTTTTTTATTTCTTCCAATAAAAGATGGTAAACCAAGGTATTTTCCAAAATTAGGTGTTTGGGCTACCCCCAAATTTGCGCCACATCTCCCTTTTTTACCGCCCCTGTATTTTTGTTGTAGCATATACTGGATTTATGATAATTAACCACTTGTCCAGATAAATTCTCATATATTGACAGGCAATTCTTAATTTCAGCAAAGAATAAATGGGAAATAAGGGAGCGCCTCTAGCAACTCTGCATCCATGTATTGATCCCCTATTTTGTGCTTGTTGCAACAACAAAGAAAGGCCTTCGGCACAAATAATAAAGAGATTGGGAGATAATGGGTCTCCCTGTCTTAATCCACGGGTGGGCGTGATTGAGTCACTACGGGAACTATTAACCAGAAAAGTATATGATACTATAGACACACAAAGCATAATAAGTTCAATCCATTTGTCCTCAAATCCTAAAGCCACAAGCATACCACGTAGAGAAGACCACTCCATACGGTCATAGACCTTAGCCATATCTAATTTGAGAGCACTCCAGCCTACAACCCCACATTGTTTCCTGTTCAAATAATGTCATACCTCAAAGGCTATTAGGATATTATCAATAATCAGTCTACCAGGTATAAACGCACTATGCGAATCAGATATAATATTATCCATCAACGGCTTCATTCTGTGCGTAATCATTTTAGCCATAATAACCCTATAAATCACATTGCTCTGGGCTATAGGTCTAAAATCAGAAACCAACTTTGGGGTATTCTTCTTCGTGATCAACACCACATCAGTATCATTCAGACCAGAGGGGAAGGAGCGCGAGTTTAGACAATCCACAATAAATTTTGAAATATCCCCACCCACAAATCCCAAAAATGCTGGTAGAAACCCAGATTTATACCATCTGGGCCAGGTGCTTTATTAGGAAACATTGTAAAGAGTGCATCTTTGTCTTCATCTATTTCAAAGGGTCGTAAAAGTGATTCATTCTGTGTCTGGGTTACTTGTGGGATAACATTATCAAATAAAGGCTCACCATTCATAAGATTACCAGTGCAGAAGATTCCCTTAAAATAATCCAGAATAACATCCTTCATATCCTCCCCTTCCACCCACTCCCCACAGCCGTTCATAAGTCTAGATAAAGTATTCTTTCTTTTTTCAATGAGAGGCATATCTGTGATAGAATTTTGTGTTTGCATCAGCATCTTTGAGCCAGTGTTGCTTGGCTCTTTGTCTCCAGTACACATCCTCCTAGGTCTCCATACGGCACATGGCTTCCTCCAAATGTTGGAATTCCGCCAGGGAGGCTGAATCAGTGCGCCCTCTCAGATGCTGTTGTTCCTTAGGGAGTTGCATGATTTTTTCACCAAACTTGTGATAGCGGTCGCCTCCCCATTGGGCCAGATGATTCCCACAGTGTTCAATACAATTTTGTGTGCCTTCATTCCTCCCTTCACCCCATGACTTAACCACCACAGTCCTGCACCCTTCATCATATAGTCATGCCATTTCAAAACGAAATCTTTTTCTTCCTCCACCCCCCTTGGTCCATAATCGCGGATTGCCAGGAAGATGGCAGAATGATCAGATGTTCTTGTTAGTAAATTGGAAACCCTAGCCCCAGTAACAATATCGCACCAGTCATTAGTAGCAAGCACCTTATCCAATCTTTCCTCGATTCATCCAGCCGTACCCTTTCCCTTTTCCCACGTGAACTGATAACCATTCATAGGTAGCTGAGACAAACCACACTGCTCAATAGTCTCTCCAAAACTGCGAAGGAGATTATTTGGATGCGGGTTGCCTCCTCTCTTCTCATACTGGAATAAGAGATCATTAAAATCACCCACCATGATCCAAGGTAACTCAGACCGTGCTGCTAACGATTTCAACAAATCCCATGATTCCATCCGCTTAACTTGATTGACTATTATTGGAGTTATGATATTTTGGTACACCTAATTATTAGGGGTGTGCATTTCAGTTTTCAATTAAGTTTTTTTTTTTTCATGTTCGGTTCGGTTTGAAAGAGTTCAATTTTCGCTCAGATTTCAGTTTGATTTGAGAACTCAGACATTCCTTTTTTTTTTTTTTTTTTTGCACACAATTATTTATTTATTTTCACTAATAATTTAAATTTCAAAATCTAAACAAGCCAACAATGCATATTTCATATTTCTCAATATAAAATAAGTCCAAATCAAACTGACCTCTTTACTTGCATCTGGTGTCCGACAACAACATCACAGACTTGTCGACTCACAAAGAAAAATTGAAAACAAATAACACTTTTGAAAATTTGGGTTAGAGAATTGGGGATTTAGTGTGTGTGTATAACGATCGATTTTTCGATTTGATTTGATTTATAACTGAACCGAACGGAAACCATTCAGTTTATAAAATTAAGAACTAATTTATTTTTAATAATAAATTAAAATCGAACCGTGTTTAACTCGACTGGAATAATCCATTGAAAGGCCTGCTTCTACCAATTACCATATAGTATTGGTTGGTAATAGGGATGACAACGAGGTGGGGGCGGGGAGTATACTCCCAGTCCCTGACCCCGCCTTAGGCGGGTTAATTGGAAATATTCTCCAACTCCCCATCCCCGATCAACTCCTAGTCAAAATGTTAAATTAATGTAATTTTTAATTAAAAAATTTTAAACCAAAGTCATAATTTCAAAAATTAAAATACTCAAATCTATATAATAATTAATCGGGACGTGGCTGGGCGGGGAAGAGTATCCATGTTCCCGTCCCTGTTTCCCAAAAATTTTTCTCACCCCCATTTTCATCAAGGAATGGATCAAAGATCCCTGTTGGAGACGGAACAAATTGGTAAAATTGCCATGGACATATGTCACGTGGCTAGAGCAATCAGCAATCAGAGGAATATTGTTGGAATTAACTCTTAAAAAAAATATGAATTAGACTTTTTATTGGGTTAATGAAATTGGGTCTTGATGAGCCCTGATCTTTTAAGTCATTGAACTTAGATCATTTCCCATAAGCCCATAATCCCATCACTTAGTGTGTGTTTGAAAACTCGGACCATAAGCCCATAATCTCATCACTTAGGGTGTGTTTGAAAACCCAAAAAATGATTTCTCAATGTTTTGAAAGATGGAAAATTTAAAGTCAACTGAAAATGAGACATTGGTCAATGCAAAATGGGCTTGTTTTCCGGAGAACAACTTCCCCTTTTCTTAAGGGGAAGTCATTTTCCGGATGTTGACTTCTTCCTTTTCTTCACTTTCCCGCTGCTTCATCTTCTGGCTTCATCTTCTTCAACTTTCAGCGTCCTGCCGGAAACCAGTGAGCACTGGTTTTCTGCTTTGGTTTCCGGCGGGAATCTGGTTTCCGGCGAAAACCAACGGTTTTTATTTATTTATTTTAAGATAAAAAAACTCATCTGGTTTCCGCGCGAAAACCAATGAATATCCTTTTTTATTGCTTTTTTTTTTAAATATTATAGGATTATGTTGAAAATTATTTTAGTATTATTATTATAAATATTTTTATATTCTAAATAAAATAGTTCAAATATTTATTTATATAATTCTATTCATTTTTCAGTAAATGAACCAAACACACCAATGCAGTTTTCAAGAATGTAACCAAACAACGGAAAGGAAAATATTTTCGGGAAAATGACTCATTTTCCAGAAAACATTTTCCAGAAATTATTTTCCTGCTTTCTAAACGAACCCTTAGGTTAGTATCTCTACATGCATGCTAGTATAATATGATTTGCGTTTATATTTTCTTTCATCCAATCCATCTATGTTGGTATTTATATATAATCTTGATAATATTGCAAATCTCATTCTTAAACAGTCACTAGTTAAAACTTGCAAAGGAAAATATCAAGATGTCGATCTTCACAATTCGCAATGTTTGAAGGATACTGAAACTTTCAATCAGGTTTGTTTAATTATTTTTCTAGAATAATTAATACTTTATATCTCATGCGAAGCTGCTTGTGCTGATGTGCTCAGATGACACCTCTGTGGCTCCTCTTGAGAAAAGGTCACAGGAATGAATCCCAGTGGCATATATATATATATATATATATATATATATATATATATATATATATATATATATATATATATATATATATATATATATATATATATAATAAAGTTCAAATGCGGCGGGGTCTTCCCGTGCGGCGGTGCGGCGGAATTTCAGAATACACCAACAGTATTAACAATATGCACCAACAGTGTAAGAAAAACACACCACAAGGAAATGCAATAAAACATCACAAAATACACAACAGACTCAAAAAAATACACCATATAACTCACCACCCCAATGGTGTATTTCCGAATAGTGTATGGTGTTTTTACTCACACCTAATGGTGTGTGTTTGGTGATGCGGGGCTCTGTTTACTCTGTTTTTTGTGGTGTATTTTCCTAAGGTTGATGGTGCATATTTGTTGAACTATTGGTGATGCCGCACCGTAAGACACCGTCGCACCTGAACCCGCCTATATATATATATATATATATAGAGAGAGAGAGAGAGAGAGAGAGAAAAATTACACTTTTGGTCCTATGACTATATGGGGGGTGGTAATTTCAGTTCGTGACTTTTAAAACTAACAAATTTAGTCCTTTTAGTATGTTTTTTTTAGCAGATTTGATCCTTCCGGCCAAATCACAGGCCAAAAGTCACCGGAAAAATGTAAATTATTTTTTATTATTTAATTATGAGGACAAATTGGTCATTTCCAAGTCATTTCTTCTTCTTTCTCTTCGGCTTGCCTTCGAAAATCCCGGTGTCCTGGGATATTCGTGAGCTTCGAACGCCATGAACTGTGGGCGGGGAGATGAATGTACAGACGATAGATATATATAGGTAGAGAGGGGGAGGGGTGGGTGGTGAGGAGGATAGGTGGAATTGTGGATGGAGAGATGCGTGGCTACATAGTATACGAGGTTGTCATGCAAAAGTGCAAGAAGGCAGGGGATAGTGGTGGCAAGTTTAGCAAGTCTTCGTTCATTCACGCCAAATCAATTCCTTTCCAAAAAAATAAATCCAAGCACAAGGTTGCGATCATAGCCACAACGTAGCATCGGCGTTTTTGGTCATCATGGCTGTAATGGCGGCCTCAATCGATTTGCGTGTATAGGAAGAGAAAACAAAGCAGGAAGAATAACACATGGCTGTGCGGCGCCGGTCGTGATGTTCGAGAATTTCAGCGTAGAGATGGTGAGAAATCACGAAATGCAAGATTCTTTGAGTCAATGTATATATGTACATATATATATAACATATATATATATATATATATATATATATATATATATATATATATATATATATATATATATATATAGCCCCTATATATTAGTGGAGTCGAAGAGAAAGCTTCATCTACCACTAAACAAAGTATCTTAGCTTCATTCAATGGAGGGCCCTGCAACCTGGATTGCCTATGCAGTAGCATGGCTATCCACCATTGCACTTATCTTCCTTGCCAAACATCTCCGCCGGAGAAAGCTTCATCTACCCCGGGTCCTAAGCCATGGCCATCATCGGAAACTTGAACCTCATCGGCACCCTCCCTCACCGTTCCTCAAAACCATGGACATCAACTTCGTTGGCAGGTTAGAATTTATATCCGATAATTTCCTGGAAAAATGACACATATTATGACCAATCTGTTCATTTGTAATCTGTTCCCGATACTTGAGCGCCAACCAGCAGTCGTAGTGGTACACGAGGACGGCGCCGGGATTTTCGAAGGCAAGCCGAAGAGAAAGAAGAAGAAATGACTTGGAAATGACCAATTTGTCCTCATAGTTAAATAATAAAAAATGATTTACATTTTTTCTGTGACTTTTGGTCTGTGATTTGGCCGGAAGGACCAAATCTGCTAAAAAAAAGCATACTAAAAGGACTAAATTTGTTAGTTTTAAAAGTCACGAACTGAAATTACCATCTCCCCTATAGTCATAGGACTAAAAGTGTAATTTTCTCTCTCTCTATATATATATATATATATATATATATATATATATATATATATATATGTCTTGATGTTATGTAACTTTGCAGTTGATTAGTGGAATATATGCGGCCCACATTCTAGAGCCAATATGTCTTGATGATTCAGCTTCTGCAAAACTTACAAAATCATATGGTTTGAGAAGATCAGTCACAGAGACGTTCAAAAGGCTCAGGAATCCCACTCTACTTCCTGGCATTAAATGTCGGGTGAGACATTCCTCTGTTTCCAATTATTTATTTATTTGGTGTGACGAGAAGAACCCCGTGTACACATAGTAAACCCTACTTTATACATTTATAATATATTTATTGAGTTTGAGTTAGCGGACTAATAATGATACTGTAGGATGATTGGTGTCGGCTATGTGAGTATTGGGCTAATGATCAGAGTGTACAAGAAGCCTTGTATGTTCGAGAGGTAAACTTTTTACTTTGTAAAATGTAATAACCATTGTATGAAGTAAAAATACATGAATAAGGCTTTCAGCAAGTTAGGCAACTCAATTAAGTTGGTTGTTGACTAACCACAAGATTACAAATTCAAACTCCCAACAAGAGTAACTTATTGACCTTCTTAATTTGAACTAGTCAAATATAAAAAACCTAGATTGGTTTACCTCATTGTGGTCCTTTACTGGGATTTACCAGTTACATATCATTGGATAGTGACTGTGTGTTTCGTTCATGACTCAAAAAAAAAAAAAAAAATACGGAGTACATTAATATGTAAAAGAAGTAAAAATCTAATTATAAATGCAAATTTGATCACAGGGCAGTGTTGGAAGATGGGAGAGGTGTGCTTCAAATTTGCCTTTCACAAAGACAGTTGATAACACAGTACCGTATCATGCAAGTCTTAGCACAAAAGGCTACAGATCTCTTATATATAGGTCGGAATTACTTTAACAATAAAACTTTCTTAAAAGCATCCATAGTAGTTTAATTCTTTTGCAATTTTTAAGAGTTTTTATAAGAGTTATTAGGAAAGAGAAGGTGAGAGGGGAGAGAAAAAAAAAAAAAACAAAACAAAACAAAATTGAATTAAAAAAAAAAAGAATAATAATAATAATAATAATAGTGCGTCAGACACGCTATTCCACACGGGCGCGTACAGTTGGCTATGCGCGAACGCGCACAACATTTGTTGCTTCTATTGCTCCGGTTACTGTTCCATACCTTGGTTTTTGTAGAAAGAACAGTTTTCTTCTCTCTCCCTTTCTCTCTCTCTCCATGCCATAACCAATTGTACTATGATCTCCAAATTCTCTTTTAATGTAGATGCTCTAAATTGTTAGAAGGATTGCTTGCTAACCATTTATTAAAAAATGATAGTTGAAACTTTGCTAGTGTCTTATTATTAGATTTTTTTTTCAAAAAAAAAAATTGATATATGTCGATTGAAACAGATGTTGATAGTATTTAGTACAATCAAGTAAATTATATCTGGTTGTAATGGGAACTATTGTTACTGATGCTTAATAGTATGATTAGTATCCCATACAATTATGTACAACTTATATGATTGTACTGACTTACCACGTATTATAAGCATCATTACTAATAATAATCGGCAACATAGAAAACCATGTTATTGTTGTTATTTACTAACACAATTTACTTTTAACATATTTTGAATCAAATATAATCTGTAGTGGTGACCATGACATGATAGTACCGACTATTGCAACCGAAGCATGGATAAAATCTTTAAATTACTCGATTGTGGAAGAGTGGCGTCAATGGATGGTTGAAGGTCAAGTAGCCGGGTAATTTCTGTTAAATTGACTCTACCTTCTAGTAATTGAAGTGATAATAATTTAAAAAGATGAATGTGACATACCACTATATATTATGCTTTGTTATAGATATACCCGGACTTACTCTAACAGGATGACATTTGCCACGGTGAAGGTAACAAATTTTGGATTCCAAATAGCAATGATTTATTCTTAATCTTTATTGTTCTTTTTCTCCTTCTCTCAAATACTGTCGATTGAATTATTGAGTTAAGCCCGTGCAAGTTCTTAATCGTTATTGATGTTAAGTTGCATTGTTGTTTTGGCGTTATATTTCTTGTAGGGAACTGGACATATTCCTCCCGAGTGGAAACCTTTGGAATGTTTGGCTATGTTCAATAGGTGGATAGCTTATGAACCTCTTTAATTTATGAAACATCTCGAACGTGTGATATTCAAGACGTCAACTCATCAAGTAAATTTTCAAATGTTTGGATATTGGCCTGTTTGGTAAAATAGTTAGTCTATCAGTTACTTTTGACTTATTTGATCACTATTAGTTATTTGACTTGGTTAAACAATCAATATGAGTGTTTGATTAATTAGCTTTTTTGTAACAATTTATTGCTCTAAAATGTTAAAAATAAAAAAGTGTTCAAAGTAGTTTTTTCGATAAGCTTTTTGAAAAAGTCATTTTATATGTAATCGCTATCAGCTAACAGCTAATTTACCAAACATTTTTCTACAATCAACTAATGATATCAACTAGTCAAACTCACTAACCCAATAAGCTCACAGCTATTTACTAAACACCGCCACCCTGTTGTATCCAGACATTTGAAGAGAAAAATAATATATAGTTGCGCTATAAATGATTTTCAAATGTCTCGCAACTATTATTGAGACATTTGAAGTCTCAATTAACAGCTATTGGAAGGTATGGATCACAAGTCTCAATTAAAACTTACTTTTACAGGGCGTTTGGTTGGAGAGATTTTAAATTCCCTTCCCACTTAATTCCCACCTAATTCCAAAGGCCATTAAATTCCGTAGTTTGGTTGGAGTGAATTGCAATTCCATGGAATTGCAATTCCCCCATTTTCATGGAATTAAAATCCCATGTCCCCCCTCTGGAATTTTCATTCCTGGGAAAAAAAGATAGTGATGAGTCAAAATTACCCCTTCCTTTTTTTAACCTAAAATTAATGTCTAACAACAATAATTGACATTTTTGACATTATACTACTTATTCCCTTTCAATTCCCATGTATACCAAACATTGGAATTGAAATTCACAGTAATTCTATTCCTGTCAACCAAACACTGAAATTTAAATTCCCACTTTATTCCCAGTAATTCAACTCCCATGAAATTGCAATTCCTTTCCCACATAATTCCCCCCTCCAACCAAACGCCCTGTTAGCGGTCAATAAACTTGAGTTATAAAATAATTAATGGATTTTCGTACTTAAAAGGAAAAAAAAAAAGAACATTTCAATTATCTAGAACATGGATATATTTTACATGTTTGGTAAAATCTTAACACGGTCAATATAGTAGCCCGTGGTTCAACAACCACAAACGCATATTTTACTTGAGGTTTATTATAACCTCGAAAGGTAAGGACATATCTCTAGGAACATTAACATATTTTGCTAGTATGTAGTGTAATCCATTAATTGTATTGACATATTAGTTAAATCCGGGGTAGTTAATTAACATTGTTATTTTTGTGTATTCAAACCTAAAAACTCGTTATTTGCCAATAAATGCAGTTTGGATATGTTTACCCATTTTGGAGAAAAAAATAAAGTAGTTAACAACAAGTCCATTTGAATTACCTTTCTTAATGCTACAATTCGGAAATGCGGTGGGAATGCAGCATTGCCATGCTAATGCAGCATTAATTATAAATCAAGTGTACTTACTACTTATGGGTGTTCCCCTTCTAGTTTTATAAAAAAAAAAAATAAATTATAAATCAAGTAATGCTATACTTGTATTCTTTGTTACTCCTGACATACATCAATTGGTCTTCAAAAAAGAAGATCACAAACCACAATTTCTATATTTTCTTTTCCCATCCTTCTAATGAAATCAATATAATACATAATACATGTGATAATATATACGAATTGGATATATATTCACCCCATAATTAGGTACTAAAAACATAACTATATACAGAGTAAATGTTATGGGGCGAATTGAAGAAGACAACAAATTGAAATCGAACTGAACCATATACTATGGCAATCAAATTGAAAGTTTTCGGTTATGATTCAAAATCAGAACCCAATATTTGAATTTTCGTTTATTAAAATTGTAAACTGGAAAAAAAATGATCTTGAACCGTGAATCGGAGGTTCAAATCAGAACAACTACTAGCATTAGCTTAAAATTAGAATTATAATATTTGTAAATAGTGTATGTTTGTTTTCGCATTTATACTGACTCTCACATATAAGTATATATAATCACAATTTGGTTTTTATTTTGAGCCGTCGATTCACGGTTTCGGATCCAATTTGAATTACTAGTTCAAACTTTCTTTTAATTTTTTTAAAATATTTTAAATTCAAAATTTAATGTATTTTAATTTTTCAATTCAGAACATGAACTGGCAGTTTCAATTTACGATTTCAATAAACTTTAAATATCGGGTTTCGGTTCTAAATTGTTATCATAACCTTTATGTTTGGTTGCTATAGTGTCTGTTTGGTTTGAGCCAAATCGTGATTATAATTTATTGGAGAAAAAATAAATGAAATATTTATTTTAAGAATAAATATGTCCATTTAATATATTAGAAAAAAAAACTGTCACTTAAATAATTAAGAAGAAAAAATTTTATAAGTATATAACATTGGAAGAAAAAGTGCCAATTATCCCTTATCTAAAATTTTGATACACAAAATTATCTAAAATTTTGATTATATACAATTATGTCTCATCCTTGTCAGATCTACACAAAAATATCAACAGCCCCAATAAATGTGATGGGATAGAAAAGAAAAAGTAAATTATTGTGTGGACCAAGATTGGAGAGAGACTTAACAAATAGAGAGCAGACAAAGTTCTCACAATAATTAAGAAATTGCGCTTTACAAGAAAAAAAGTAAAATGATAGTCAAAAAATTAATAATGTCGCTGGGCCCTGGTCAGTGGTCACATAAATTGCAGTTAGCAACTTAGCACATTAATAATTTAATTTAGACCCCTAATACACAAAAAAATAAATATGATGGGAGTCTCAAAATTAAACACGTTCAATTTACAATTTTATGACTTTGAAAGTGAGTTCATAAAATTTAGAATATAATTTGATGAGGTTGGAAAACACATGTCAAATAGGTCCATTTACTACTGTAAATAGATAACTTGTTAGCAACCTGTAAAAAAAATTAATTGAACAAATTTAGCTGGTAATAAGTGTGGTTAATTAGACTTTAATTTAGTTTGTGGTGAGAATTGAACACTTTACAGTAGTAGATGAGTCTATTTGACACTTGTGCGAAATAAAAATAATAATAGTAATGTTTTTAGTTCTTGAATTTTATGATAATAATAAATTTAAGTTATGTATTACAAATATTGCGGAGTATCATTTTTAGTATTCAAATTGTTCGTCCAATTAATTTTCTATTAAAATTTATTGTTATTTTTCCAAAACTCTAATTAATTAGAGCCCCTAGTTAATGAAATTTCAATTTTTAAAAAAAAAGTTTTTCCTAAATTGTATTTCAACTCCAAGACTTAATAGCAAGAAATATATGCTCTATTAGTTAAGATCAAAAGATAAGTTTCACTCAGAGCGCATCTTCAATTAAATGTTATCAAATTTTTTTCTTAAATCAAAGAAATGTATGCTCAAATGCTCAATGACCTTCATTATATTATCAATGTATTAGTTTTGTCATATAAAATTTTTAAAAATAATGGTGATGGTTAGCACATACATAACGAAAAGACTGAAAACTAGAATTGTTAAATGTGGTGATACTTATAACACATAAATTGAATCCATTATTATTATTATTATTATTATTATTATTATTATTATTATTATTATTACTATTATTATAAAATAAAACTCGAGGATCAAAAGAATAGCATAAAAGGCAACCTTTTTCCTCCATCTTCATAATTAAAAAAGTAGAAAGCCACAATGAAATATACACTCTGCAATTGCCATACATTTTTTCTTCTTCTTCTTCTTCTTCTGCATCTTTCTCCAGAATTGGATGCATGCGGCTCCATAGTTAAGTCGCTTCCAGGATTTGAAGGACCACTCCCATTTCACCTAGAAACCGGGTAAGCTATTTTTGCATTATATCTTTTAATTAAACTAAGTTAGAAGATTAATGAACTGAATTTACTTCTTCATTATATTCTGCAGATATATAGGCGTGGGTGAATCGGAAGAGGTCCAACTTTTCTACTATTTTATCAAGTCAGAATCAAATCCAGAAGAAGACCCTCTTTTCCTTTGGATCTCTGGCGGCCCAGGTTGCTCTTCCTTTTTCGGAATTGTTTACGATGTTGGTGAGATGCCAAATAAGGCAAATATAATTTAAATCCTTTTTTTTATTGTCAATTAGATTATTATTTCAAATGAGTGGTTATTGTTTGTAACCGTTGGTGTGAGTTAGATTATTTAAAAATGCTTTTGAAAAAGTATAAAACAGATATTACATTGTAAAAAAAAAAAATTCAGCCCGCACTGGCTTAGTTCATTACTTCAGTGGTGACAGTGCAGGAATTTTACTCAAAGTGGACAGATCCCTTTTACACCAACATTTGACATTATCTACTGAGTGATTAAGCCATGTGATTTACATTTCCTTCCAAATTACACTCCTATAGTTTAGACTTACTCTAAACACTCTGATCTAACAATTTTTTTTTTAAATCCATTTTTGATTAGTTAAGTTTGATTTGTTGGTCCAATAATGGTGCTTGAGTGAACCGTGCAGGGCCGATGAGTGTTGATGCAGTAGACTACAATGGCAGCCTGCCCACTTTATCATTCAATCCTTATTCATGGACAAAGGTGAATCTCAACAATTATACTCCCAACTTCTTAATTTCTTTTCATTTTTCTTTTCCTCTCGTGAAATTAATAAAACATCCGTGACGAGAATATATAAATTCAGATAATTTTTTCAGTATTTTACTTAGTAATATATTCAATTGCGATCAACTACTATGTAGTGTGATGACACATTTGTTACCATTCCAAATGGTTAGTCACATGATTAAATTTCTGTTGTAGGGTAAATATTACATTGTAAAGAATTATGAGTGTGTAAAAAAAAATATTTAATTGATTTTTTTTTACCAAGTTTCATTTAACGTGTTAGGTATTAGTACCTTTAATTTCTAATTAATTAGAGGTGGCTTTAATTTCGTCCCCTAAAGGAGGTTCTAGTGTATAGCTCAAATAGAAATAAGGGAAAATTGTAATTTATGCATCTTCATAATATGTTAATTATTAATATTACTTTTAAATTATTAGTGGTGTAAATGTTGTCTTTTAATTTTTAAAACGGTACATATATTGTCCATTCCGTACCATACGGGAGAAAAATTGAGTGGTAACATTTACATCACTAATAATTCAGGAGTGACATTGATAATTGACATATTATGGAAGGACATAAATTACAAATTTTCCAATAATTACGGAATATTCCGTTATTAAAGTTTACACTAATGAAATACATGAGTATTTAGGAAAATTGTAAATGATATAATAGACACAATATTTGGAGACTTTTTTAAAAACTTATTAGTGAAACATAGGAATTAATTTAGGTGATTATAATTATTAATTGATTTTTTTTGGTGACAATAAATTGTTAGGTGGCCAACTTTATTTTTTTGGACTTACCCGTTGGCACGGGATTTTCATATGCAACCACTCCCCAAGCTAATAGCTCGGATAGTTTGCAAGCGGCTAACCATGGATATCAGTTTATTCAAAAGGTAATTAATTAATTACCCAAAGGATTAACCAGAGAATAAATCTTATATTCCTTTTAACTTGATTCTCATAATATTCTCGACTTTGCATCATCAATTTGTAAATACTTTGATTTTAACTTTGTGATTTACAGTGGCTTGATTTGAACCCAGAATTCGTAAGGAATCAATTTTATGTTAGTGGAGACTCATATTCCGGTATTATTGTTCCAATGATTACTCAAGTTATATCAAATGGTAAATTTTTTGAATTAATTTTTTATTTCTAAGTAATGCATGCACACATAATCGTATGTTTTATAAGAATAATTAGAATTAATATCAAGTTTAGTCCTCGATTTTGATGAATTTTTCATATCTAGTTTTAAACAAATAATTTCGCTACATTTTGACATTGACTTTTATGATTACTAAATTTAGTCATAATTTGTCTCCCTACTATCAAATCATAATTTGTCTCCCTGCTATCAAGATTCCATGAACCAAACGCCTCCTTGGTGTGTTTGGTAAATCATATTCATATGGAAGCCATTTCCATGAACCAAACGCCTCCTTGGTGTGTTTGGTAAATCATATTCATATGGAAGCCATATATGGTAGCTACTTAGTTGGGTATTAATGCGGTTCGGCCCGGCACGTCGCACGGCAATCATTATTGTATGGACCATGTTTTGTATACTGTAAAATAAAGTACATTCAATACAAAAGTAATGTACACTCAATACAAAAATAATGTACATTGTATTAAGGGGATGTACATTATTTTTGTACCGAGTATACATTATATTGTATAATGTACATTCAGTACAAAAAAAAATATATTTAATATATTAAAAATATACATTTTATTATGGTTCATATAACATTGTATGGATCATGGCCCACACAATAATTGCCGTCGCCCGGTAAGCTTGAAATTGACAAGCCTTGGCGGGCCAAATTCTTTGGTCCTAACTCACTCCATGTGAATTGGTGGGCACACGGGCTACTTAAAAAAAGATTTTTTAAAAAAAAAACATTTAAAAAGACAAAATTTATTTATATTACATTATATACTATATTTTAATATATAAATAAGAAAAAACATATAAATTTAAATATACTATGATCTGATGGATAATAATCCACTCTAACCTTTTTTTTTTTTTTTTTTTTCTCACGGTGACTCAATGACTTAGCAGAGGGATATGTCTACTTTGGACATAATTTCTACATTGTCGTCGCTGAAATTTGAACATTAGTCTCTTCTCTTAAATAATGCCTACTAAACCATTGAGCTAAACCCATGCGAACAATAAACAATCATTTTCTTCCAATTAGAGAAGATGACATTTAAAATTTACATATCTATTCTTGGAATTAAATATATGACAAATGACTGAGGGTCAGATAATCGTGGGTGTTTCCTTCCTTTCTTTTCAAAAAAAAAATGACTAATTTAAATAAAATTATTAAACCCAAAATGTAGTGAAATTATTTATCTTTAACTAAAATTTAAAAATCTATCAAAGTCGAGAATTAAACATACATGATATTAGCTCATACTAATTATAAGGGTTGTGGAACCTTAGGAATTGAGGCAGGAATTACTCGGATTAATCTTAAGGTAGGTCATTATTTCAACTTATCTACATACAGTTTCTTTCTTCACCACCCCCCCCCCCCTTCCCCCCTTTATAGTATATACACTCAATCTGATGTCTCTTTTGGGGTTCCATGCAGGGATATTTACTTGGGAATCCATTTACGACACCAAATAATGATGATTATAAAGTCCCATTTGCACATAACATGGGACTTATTTCTGATGAACTCTACGAGGTAAATTACAATGTCTTAATTTTATTTATTGTCAAAGATTGGTCAAGCGGTATGAAGTGATTCTCCCAAGTGGGAGGTCATTGGTTCGAGTCTTAATGGAGATGATATTGACTCGTTGGGCTTCAGTAGGTTAAGAAAGTAAATATGAACAGATACTACATATAACATAGTCAATAGCACTCAAGAAACAAAAATGATTCATTGAATGCGTACGTAGAAACAATTATAACTTTTAATTAATTATAAAGTATAAATCAAATACGATGCTCAAAAAATATTTAAAGAGAATGAAATTCTTAGAAAATAATTTACCAAGAAGATTGATTTCATTGTTTGGTTGGTTAAAAAAAAATATTTAAAATATTGATTCCATTATTTGGTTAGGTTTAAAATTGCAAAGATAATAATGAGTATAAAGACCAATATATATACCCCTACACAATAATCAAAAAGGGTAATTAACTAATTAAGAAAGTTCTATGATGAGGGCAAAAATTGTCCTACCAAGTGATCAAAGAAAACTTTTTTCATGCATGGAAAACAAAACACCAATAATGCTTGACAAAGAAAACTTTTTCCTCAAACTTATGGAATTTTACTCCCTTCGAAAAACGAATTCCATGAACTAAACAAGAGAAAATAATATTTTCCTCAAATTTTATGAAATTGGCTTCATTAAGAAATATTTTCCATCCAACCAATTAAACATGCTGCCTCTAGTGGTTAGCAAATTGTGTTGATGGCTAATTGTTAACTTTATTGTCTTAATTTGTTTGACTACTATTGGAGTTATGATATTATGGTACACCTAATTATTAGGGGTGTGCATTTAAGTTTTCGGTTAAGTTTTTGTCATGTTCGGTTTGGTTTGAAACTTTAAAGAGTTCAATTTTCGCTCGGATTCGATTCAATTTAGATTTCAGTTTGGTTTGAGAACCCAGACATTCCTTTGTTTTTTTTTTGTTTTTTTTTTGTTTTTTTTTTGTTTTTTGTTTTTTTGTTTTGTTTTGTTTTGTTTTGTTTTTGTTTTTTTTTTCACCAATTATTTATTTATTTTCACTAATTATTTAAATTTCAAAATCTAAACAAATCAAACTGACCTCTTTACTGTGTTTGGTGTCCGACAACAACTTCACAGACTTGTCGACTCACAAAGAAAAATTGAAAACAAAGAATAATTTTGAAATTTGGGTTAGGGAATTAGGGATTTAGTATGTGTATATAACGATCAATTTTTTTATATGATTTTATTTATAACTGAACTGAACGAAAACCATTAAGTTTATAAAATTAAGAACTAATTAATTTTTAATAATAAATCAAAATCGAACCGTGTTTAAGTCTGCTTGGATAATCTGAATCGAAAGGCCCCCTTCTACCAATTACCATATAGTAGGTAATAGAGATAGTAATGGGGCGGGAGCGAGAAATATACTCCCTATTCCTATCCCCGTCCCCGTCCCAGGCGAAAAATTGAAAATATTCCCCAACTCCTTATTCCCGATCAACTCCTAGTCAAAATGTTAAATTAGTACAATTTTTAATAAAAAATTTAAAAACCAAAATCATAATTTCAAATTTTAAAATACTCAAATCTATAATAATTATTCGGGACGGGGCTGGGCGGGGGAGGGTATCCCTGTCCCCGTCCCGATTTCCCAAAAATTTTCCCATCCCTATTGTCGTCAAGGAGGGGATCGGAGATCCCCGTTAGGAACAGAGCAGATTGCCATTTAGGGCAATCAGTAGACTTATATTGCACTTTTAAAAAAAAAATTATAAATATGAATTATATATTTTTTTTAATAATTGGGTCTCGATGAGCCCGGATCTTTAAGCCATCAAACTGAGATCATTTTCCATAAGCCCATAATCTCATCACTCAATCATTATTGTGTGAAACATATTTTGTATACGGTAAAATAATGTATATTCAATACAAAAATAATGTACATTGTATTTAGAGGATGTATATTATTTAATTTGTGTACTGAGTGTACATTATATTGTATAATGTACATTCAGTACAAAAATAATGTACATTTAGTATATTAAAAGTGTACTTTTTGTTATGGTCCACATAACACTGTGTAGACAATAATTTGCCTCCATCACTTAGTTTAGTATCTCTACATGCATGCTAGTATAATATAATTTGCGTTTATATTTTCTTTCATCCAATCCATCTATATTGGTATGTATATATAATCTTGATAATATTGCAAATGTCATTCTTAAACAGTCACTAGTTAAAAATTGCAACGGAAAATATCAAGATGTCGCTCATCACAATTCGCAATGTTTGAAGGATACTGAAACTTTCAATCAGGTTTGTTTAATTATTTTTTCGAGAATAATTAATACTTTATATCGATCTCATGCCAAACACCTTGTATCACATGACAACTCTGTGGCTTTCCATGAGGAAAGGTCAAAATAATGAATCCCGGTGGCCGAGTATTGACTCTTTAGACTGTAATAGATAGAGAAATATTATATTAGAGTCAATAGTACTCAAAAAAAATAAAAATAAAAATAAAAACTTTCTTATCTCATTTTAATTGTGTATTTTTTGTTATATTTATTCATTAAACTAACACTTCATTATTTGTTTAACATTTCTAATAAAGATTGACTGTGTGTGTGTGTTTAACGGGTACTTTTGAGGCCAATGATCTTGCATGTGGTCATGTGGTATGAAGTGGCTCTCTCAATGGGAGGTCATGGTTCGTTCCTCAGTGGAACTTTCAATAGATTGAAAAAGTATATATGAACAGATACTACATTGTAATAAAGTCAATAGTACTAAAAAGAAAAATATATTTTTGAGGTAATTTCAAATATATATATGTCTTGATGTTATGTAACTTTGCAGTTAATTAGTGGAATATATTCGTCCCACATTCTAGAGCCAATATGTCTTGATGATTCATCAGCTTCTGCAAAACTTACAAAACCATATGGTTTGAGAAGATCAGTCACAGAGACGTTCAAAAGGCTCAGGAATCCCACTCTACTTCCTGGCATTAAATGTCGGGTGAGACATTCCTCTGTTTCCAATTATTTATTTATTTTGTGTGACGAGGGAAACCCCGAGAGTGTACACAAAGTAAACCCTACCTTATACATTTATAATATATTTATTGAGTTTGAGTTAGCGGACTAATAATGATTACTGTAGGATGATTGGTATCGGCTATGTGAGTATTGGGCTAATGATCAGAGTGTCCGAGAAGCCTTGTATGTTCGAGAGGTAAATCTTTTACTTTGTAAAAAATAATAACCTCCGGTCTTGTGGTCCTTTACTTCCGACTTTGTGGTCCTTTACCGACTAGAGTTACAAATCGGGATTTATCAGTTGCATATCATCGAATAATGACTGTGTTTCGTTCTGGACTCAAAAAAAATTATATGAATAAGTAAAAGAAGTAAAAATCTAATTATAAATGCAAATTTGATCACAGGGCAGTGTTGGAAGATGGGAGAGGTGTGCCTCAAATTTGCCTTTCACAATATCAGTTAGTAACACGGTACCGTATCATGCAAGTCTTAGCACAAAAGGCTACAGATCTCTCATATATAGGTCGGAATTACTTATATGATATTGTACTGATGACTTACCACATATTATAAGCATCATTACTAATAATCGGCAACATAGAAAACCCTGTTATTGTTGTTATTTAGTATATACTAACACAATTTACTTTAACATATTTTGGATCAAATATAATTTGCGGGCAGTGGTGATCATGATATGATGGTGCCATCTATTGCAACCGAAGCATGGATAAAATCTTTAAATTACTCGATTGTGGAAGAGTGGCGTCCATGGATGGTTGAAGGTCAAGTAGCCGGGTAATTTCTGTTAAATTGACTCCACCTTCTAGTAATTGAAGTGATAATAATTTAAAAAGATGGATGTAACATACCATTATATATTATGCTTTGTTATAGATATACCCGGACTTACTCTAACGGGATGACATTTGCCACGGTGAAGGTAACAAATATTTGATTCCATATAGCAATTATTTATTCTTAATCGTTATTGTTCTTCTTCTTCTATCAAATACTGCATACTGGTCTGAACCATTGAGCTAAGTCCGTGTGGGCTCTTAATCGTTATTGTTGTTAAGTTGCATTGTTGTTTTGGCGTTGTATTTCTTGTAGGGAACTGGACATATTCCTCCCGAGTGGAAACCTTTGGAATGTTTGGCTATGTTCAATAGGTGGATAGCTTATGAAAGTCTTTAATTAATTTATAAGACATCTCTAGCGTGTGATATTGAAGATGTCAACTTATAATAATTGTGCAATAAATGATTCATGTGAGCTCGTTTCCCACGATGAGAATTGTAATGAATTGTATTAACAGTGATGAATTACAAGAGTACAAGACCTAAGTATATATACAAGAGGAGACTGAGGGAGAGAACTGTAATGAATTGTATTAGCAGTGATAATTACCAGATAGGACCTAAGTATATATACAAGAGGAGATCTATGGAGAGAACTGTAATAAATTGTATTAACATCGATGAATTACAAGAGTACAGAAACTAAGTATATATACAAGAGGAGACAGAGGGAGACTAGCTAGGATTAGGAATCATAAGCAGACCAGAATACATTGATATCCTAATACCCACCGCTGCTAGTTTCTGTATTTTATTCTTCATCTAAATTTATTATAATTAAGTAATTGTTGGGACCAAAAAAATTTGGTTTAATTTAAAGATAATTATAATGGAGAGAGATGATATTGAGGAATGATGTATTACAAGTTTAACTTCACAACTATTCTTCGATATGTAGATGCCTTAAGCATAAACTCTAGCAACTATTGTCATTGTTTATATCTTAATTAATTTGGTGCATGTACGATTGCTTATTATATTGTAAAGAAAATTAAATACCTATATTAATTTCCGTCTTGAGAAAAAAAAAAAACCCAAAAAAAAAAATCAACTAAACAACATTGTGTCAATTATTTAATTAATAGATTTTGTATTGGTCTAGTAAATGACTTGTTACGAACATTGAAGGTTTTGATTTGGTTTGACTTTGGACTTCTTGTACGTAGAAGTGTACAATTTAGTTCTCAAAGTTATGCAATTCTGAATGTATAGTTATAAAGTTATGCAATTGTGGATTTATAGTTATGAAGTTATGGATGTGTAGTTATGCAATTCTGGATGTATAGTAATGAAGTTATGGATGTGTAGTTATGCAATTCTGGATGTATAGTTATGCAATTTTGAATTTTTATTTTTTTTAAGTCGACGTCAAAACGACGTCGTTTTTGCATCCGTGAGCAGATGCACAACATAACGACTCCACTAAATAAGAGTTATACCATCTGGGGTCTTCCGAATACAGTGGTTTTGTCACGTTTAGTCCTAAACTTTCAAATCGATCACTCGTGGTCCTTCGACTTTCAAATTGTTACCATTTGTGGTCCAAGTTAACCATTTATGGTCCTTCAACTATCAAATTTTAACCAGCAGCGGTCCTTCTAGGAGGATCAATGTGGTTAAATTTTGAAAGTTGAAGAACAATGGTGGTTACTTGGACCACGGGTGATCAATTTAAAAATTTAGGACTAAACGTGACAAAACCATTATACTCTGATCGGAGGACCTCATGCATATGACATTAACTCCTCTAAATAAAGTCCAAACTAATAAAGGATTAATATATTCCAATAAATATGCTACACAACATATATTATTTTTTGCACTCACATGTTTAAATACTCTGATGTATCTTGACATTTATGACAAAAAAAAAAAAACATAATGGCTTGGTTGCGCAAAAAGTGATCTTTCATGGATGAATCCAACACGAAACATGCATTTTTTTTATATTTTTTATTTACAAACAATTAAAAATAATGGATTCTCGTACAGGAAAAGAAAAGAAAATAGCAATTCAATTATCTAGAACATGGATTGTACATGTTTGGTAAAACGTTAACGTGATCTACATAGTAGCCCGTGGTCCAACAACTACAAACGAATACCTTATTTATTTATTTTTGTGATGAGAGAAATGGTTAGTTACTACCCGAAAATGTGTATAAAGTAAACTTTGTCTTGTAATTTTAGTTGATAAAAAGTTATACGAAAGTAAAATAATCAAGTTTACCTATAATTGACATGCTCAAACTAATGTCATATTCTGGTTGTAATATAACACATCGATTATATTGAGATATTCATTAAATAATTAATTAATATTATATTGTTGTTATATATGAGTTAGATCAGAGTAAACAATACGATTTGTGTGTTTTTTATTCCATTTTTTAAAATAAAAATTAGACCTTGAAATGCATTTGTTTGTTGGAAACAGGCTGATAACTCTTTTAATTACATAAATGGTCTTGAAATGTTTTAAGTGAAATCAGTATTAGCAAAAATTTCGTCTAGGCATCGATTAATCGGTGCCTAGGCGCTAGGCGCTGGCCAACTGCCTAGCGTATCATTATAATTGGTGATTGGCCGATTAGCTATTGTTCCATTTTTTTTTAAATGAGTTATTTCACTCAAAATGACATATGTTGTTTTGAGAGAAATAACTCTAAACTTTTCAAATTATAGATGTTTTTTAGGTTAATATTTAATATTTTAGTATTAACTAAAGTATTAAATAATTTAGAATTATCTAGTCTTAAAAACTAAAAAATAAATAAATAATTTTTTTAAAAATAATAAATACACGGGCGCCTAGGCGCCGATTAATCGTCGTCTAACCGCTTGGCGCCCCCGAGCAAGTGTATGTGAAGCGCCTAGCAATTTTTACAACCATGAAAGAAATAACACATGGAAACATGGCCAAGAGAGAAACAGTAATTAGTCATCTCTAACAAGATGTTTGGTTCATGAAACATACAAGGAGTAGAATAGCATTTCAGAATTCTATGGAATTGACTATTACCTTTGTAATGAGAATTGCCATTCTCACACACCGAAATTGGTTCATGAAACATACAAGGAGTAGAATAGCATTTCATAAAACATGTTTATTTTATTTCAATTTTTAAAATCACATAATAGAATTCTATGGAATTGACTATTACCTTTGTAATGAGAATTGCCATTCTCACACACCGTAATGATTTTATTTATTCTTGCCTTTTTTTTCTTTTTCTGAATGCTTCTGACTCTATTACAATGTAGTATCACAAAGAGTCAATAACGTATCCACTAAGGCTCGAACTCACAATCTCCCAATATGAGAATTTAACCCGGGTGCTATCTGAGCATAAGGTGCTTGGCTGTTTCATTAGAATTTAAATTTACTTAATACCAATATATATATATATATATATATATATATATATATATATATATATATATATATATATATATATATAGGCTTCGAATCCGGTGCACCCCCTCTAATAGATGAGATCATGAGCCCTCCTAATATCCATTGATTCAATTTCCATCAATGGTTGAGATTATAAGAGATTAGGGTAGTAACTAAGGACATTTTCCAATGTAAAGGATATATTAGTAATTGTAATTCTAATTTATTTATGGACATAATATTATTGGAATCTGTAGCATTAAATTAGGGAGTTTATGGATGGAAATTAATACTTTGAATTACTACAAAGGCTGATGAGGTGAACTTGGCGTGAACAAGGCTGTAGGAGAAAACGAACGGGTAAGTGCATTTACGTGCCACCGTCTGTGCATACGCTGAATATTGGGGTTTTTTTCGCTGGGATGGTGGGAGGGGGGTGGGGGTTGGTGGACGAACTAGAATATCTGTTATGTGCATAGCGTGTGCGTGTTCAGGTGGTTGCATACAGGTTTGTTTGTGAAATCGATAGGTTGACAAGAGGATGCATAGACAACAATGAGTGTATTTCGCCTGTGAAAGATTGTGAAAAAAAATCGCAACCACAATCCTTATAATATGCAACCACTATATGCACAGGCCTTTTCTTGTGCGTGATTTCTTGTGGTTGGCTTGTTTTACAAGGAATATATTGTAAAAATTAATAGTTTTTTTTTTTCGGTGGTGTGTGCATTTGTATGATTTGGCGTTTGCAAATTTTTGGAAAATAAACTTAGCATCATGTCGTTTTTTTAGTTTTGTTTTTACACTAGTGTGTGCATTTTATGGTATGGCGTGTGCAAATTTTTGGCAATGGAACTTTGCATCATGTTGTCTAGTGTACACGTCGTAACACTCCAATGCACACACCAAATACAATATGCATGTGTCGCGGTGTGCATTAGTGAATAGAAGATAGTTCATAGCACTTGTTCTGTGTGAGTTTTATGTTTTGGTTTTAGTTTAGTCCTCTGCTGGCACCCAAGTTTGCACGCACTTGACAATTGATTTTTATTTCAAACAAGGATGTGTGCGTAGTTATATAAAGGTGAATGCGTTACACCATAAACAAGATTTATTACTTATTACTAATATGGTGTGTGCGTAGTAGGTCGTCAGTCTATGCATGTCGCTTACTAGGCCACCAGTCTGTGCGTAGTAGTAAAAAAGGTGATTGCGTTACTCCTAAAAACAAGAGTAAGTAGTTATTAATAATATGGTGCGTATGCATTGGCGTGCACCGTCAGGTGTGTAGTAGGCCATCAGACTGTGCATAACGCTGTAGATGAATGCTTGCATGTTTCCGTGTGTGCATTATACGATTGAAGTTGGTGCGTACTGTTGTAATATATGACTCATCTATAATACGCAATGTTCATTTGAGTGCACGTACGTAAAGCTTGTGAGAATTCAAATGCATTTATAAAAAAAAAACTCAAAAAACATAAGACGAATATAGGACACAACTGTAATACGAAATGTTCAAGTGAAAACCCAAAACAAAAACCAACATCTGGAAACAAAATCCCAACGAAACTGACCACAATATTTAAATTGAGGAAAGAATTGTAAAAGCCGTGTATAAACGAAAGGTTTGACAAGATGCTTTGCAGAGGCGCAAATCTTCAAGGGGGGAAAAATTGCCTCATCAACCTCGTCAGGCTCAGCATCCGATCCATCCGTATCCGGCGTCGGTTGAGCGGGTTCTTGGGGCACTTTTACTACTTCCCACTGTGGCAAAGGTGCCCTCGCATCAACTACACCCACCGGCTTAACACCACCATCCCCTGCAAATGGCACAAATCAAAAGACCGAAATCAAAAACAAAAAACCACATAACATAAAGAATACCACTACAAAACATCATAAAACTAAAAAGCAATCACCTAAGGACAAACTCAACAACCATATTGCACAAAGCATTCACCTCCTTACACCTACGCACACATCATGCTCCAAAAAAAGAATTTAAGAACATTACCAGCCGCAAAACAGTCACGCTACCAAACTAATAACCCACGACGCCTCCCCCCCCCCCCCCCACCCCATAACCCCAAACAGAAATGAAAACAAACATATTGGGCAAAGACAAAACAGACCAAAAAAAAAAAACAGTAATGC